TTTACATTGAGGCTTTATGCATCATATAAAGTATTGCATGATTTTTTAAAATAAATTTTGACGCTTTATTCGTGTTTTTTAACGTCAGTTTCACTTCGTTATTTTTATTCCGTTATTTTTATGGAAAAAATCAATGAAAATGGTTAATTTCAGTTGAATATAGTCTTGATTGTTCAATTACTCAAAACTTCGAGTGAATTGTTGGGGAATTCTTGTCTTCCTGCTGTTAAAAAATTTGGAATTTCATTGAATTTTCTGGAAAATTTGAAGTTTCTTTTTTTTATTACAACTCAACTATGTAATTCCACTAAGGGAATTTTTAAAATTCATATTTCGTAATGATCATATTCAGTTGACGTCTTAACATTGAGGCTTTATGCATCATATAAAGTATTTAATGATTTTTGAAAATCTATTTTGCCGTTCTATTCGTGTTTTTTAACGTCAATTTTGCTGCGTTATTTTTATTCCGTTATTATTATGGAAAAAATCAATGAAAATGGTTAATTTCAGTTGAATATAGTCTTGATTGTTCAATTACTCAAAACTTCGAGTGAATTGTTGAGGAATTCTTGTCTTCCTGCTGCTAAAAAATTTGGAATTTAATTGAATTTTCTGGAAAATCTGAAGTTTCTTTTTTTATTACAACTCAACTGTGTAATTCAACTGAGGGAATTTTAAAATTCATATATCGTAATGATCACATTCAGTTGACGTCTTAACGTCTGGGTACAATCGACTGGTCCCTGACGAGCCCATCGTCGTGCCCTAACGCGCACTCGTGGAGACACTTCCTTCAGCCCGAGACCTTTCAAGGGGACTCGAGTAAGACACGAGAGTGGCCCCGCACTGTCGACCCTGTTGTCGAGTCAACCATGAAGATACCCAATGCTGCGGACAATGTCTGCATTACACACGTATTTCACAAAAATCCTTGTCTATTACGCTCGAAGGCCCTCCAATCCCTAATAAGTAACAAAACAATCTGGTCCTCATTACATTCTGTTGCATTTTGTGATTAAATGATTCATCTGCATCTGCACCTGAAGATTATTATTCAAATGATGGAAGACTATTATTCAATAATATTTGTGAAGACAGATATTCTTATTTTGAGAAGTAAAGAAGACATTTTATTTTGGCATTTAATTTTGGAGATTTTTCTTCTGAATTTAAATAAATAGTTTTTTATTGTTTAAATAAATTAAATTTCTAAAGTGAGAAACTTTTCTTCTCTGTGTAATACCTTGACAATTTTACTAAAAAATGTTGGAATCTAAAAGGTGAAATGTCTTTGAATTGAATCTTGAATCATTTTATGATTAATTGATTCATTTATTTTTGGTATCTAATTTTAGAGATTTTTCTTCCGAATTTAAATTAAAAAAAAAAATATTTTCCGATTAAAAGCGCTCAATTCATAAACTTTTAACACTGTGCATATTGCACTAAAATAAACCAAAATTATTCAAAGTTTCTAAATCTTGAAATGTCTCTGAATAAAAAAGTATCGAGAGATTAAACTAAATGATGGAATTTCAGGTTTTTTTATGAGACAATAACAACTGAACAAAGTGAAAATAAATTTCAGACGTGTATTGTGACCCCGTGAGACATGAGCCAACACTCGCGGGTCTCGTTTTCACGAGTGCGCCAATTAGAGCAGTGCTGCATCGATCGGAGAAAACCGTTGAACGCATTAGCGACGGCCGGTTAAACTTCCGAGCCATTTGCGAATTGTGAAACGCCCGTATGTTGTACATGTGTATGCATTGCCCCAGCGTTGATCCATCGATAAAATTTTTGCATAAATTTAAAATGACTGGACCCCCCCGAGCTGTTATTCACGAGGGGGGATTTGAATTTCAAACTTTTTAGAAATTCTAATATCGGTGAAACAACAGGTTGCATGTCGATAGGATCTGTCCGTTGGATAATCGGGGAAATTAACAATTTCAAATGCACATTTTGATGCCGTTTTGCCCCGTCATTTCCGGCGATAGAAGAAAAACCAAAATTTCATCGAAACAATTTCTTCTGAAAAAATGGCTTGTTCAAATCTTGGATATCTGCCGACCAAATGATGCGATTTCGATTATTTTCTTTTCATTTTGAAGGTAAATCAATTATCTTCAAAATGAGCGCTGTTTTTTTCAATTTCACTCAGCTGATCTTGAAATATTTAGCATTGAAGACGTGCGAGTTCTCTCCGCTCTTTTCTCTTCAATTGTCTTTTTTTCGCATTGAAAAATGAATAACGAATCACATAGAGAAATGCATAATTGATGACGTCACAGTATGAAGGCTGAGGTAGGAATTCCGTTGAATCAACCGCAAGTCAATTTCGCCGGGATAATAATTCCATCATCGTATTCCCCCCCCCCAAGTACAGTAAAAAAAAAAACAAAACGTAAAAAACATTTTAAAAAACACAAAGACAATTGAATCCCGCGGAACGGTATTTGTTGAGTAGAAAAGACAATTAACTCCGAGCTTGGATATGAAATAATAACATCAAGGTTCGTATCCAAGTCTTGTCTCGCCTGAATTTAATGCCATGCGAAATCAAACGGGAAACTCTCATCAGACGGCTGTATCTACTTTGAATTACTTGGAAGTTGCTCGAGTGTTGTTTGATAAGATACTGGAACACTCCTGGGTTTATTCTGTAACCATGTCTGGTTGTATTCACCAACAAACATGACCTCAAACCTACGAAACCAGAACTTAGCGACTTGAAATAAAAAATAAAGAACAAATAAAAAACCGTACTTTACTTTCTGCTGAATATCTCAAAACCTAATTGAGATAGCGAAATTTCCGTCAGGAAATTTTTTGTGGGGAATTTCAAGAGTTACAAAAAACCTCATAACATAAATTTCGATATCTCCCTTAGATCACGAGATATTCATAAAAAACTAAAGTCTAAAAGTTCGATAGTTCGTTGAATAGCAAGAAAAAATGATTTTGAAGTGAAATAAATTCATCTTGTCCAACGAATTCACAACTAAAACGACAAAACACTGGACTAAAGACGTCTTTAATGCCGCGATGCGTGAGATAATCGTGTCGTGGCCTACATAGAACCCCCCAAGTCTTTTAATTTCTGGTGTGTAAACAACGATCACGTCACATCAATTCACATTTCTATTGGCGTCATACCACTGCATTAATTGATTCTAATTCGATAACCTCTATCATCTGGGAAAGCAGTTATCAGTGATAATGGACCGGTCCCCATAAACTGGTTGCCGATGTTTGCATGACCCTGACAAATTCAATAGAAAATTAACCTCAATCCTAGCTAATATTGAGAATTTCTTCTAGACTATTTTTTTCTCCACTTCTCCAGCCGCAAAACGGCTTTCGAAACTCCAGTGAACCCCGACAATGGCCCTAGTCCAATCAAAAGCAGGTGTTTACGATAAACAGAACCATTAAACCAACAGCTGTTGACTATCGATGACCCGAAAATGCGAAAGTAAGAGTTTGCCAAAAAATTTTTTCAAGATTTAATGCATCTGCCCTAGGATAATCTGGCAGATGCTGGGCCTGAGCACCTGTCGACCTGTTGATGCGAGCGAGAGAGAGAAAGAGAAGAAAATCTCAACAGAAATAAAAATTTTACGAATACAACACCTGCAGTTGCCAGGTGCTAAAGAATCGTGAAGTTCGTTGGAGTTAAATCCTCAAATCTCAACAGCTGTTTCCAGAGTAACCAATTATTTTCACTCATTTTTCGCAACTGATTTCCATTGTTTGGCTTCGAAATTTATTCCCGTCCATTGATTTTCTATGAGTAATTCCTCTGGTCTTATTCAATCATCTTGGAGAGGATGAAGAATTCTGAGAAAGTCCTCAGTCATCGATTCTCTCATTGTTCATGGAAAACAAACGAGGGCCTTGGATTGATCAATGAAGCATCATCTCGCTGGAATATCGATGCTCACCATGTTCCCCAGGAATGAGGAATGGCTTCAATCCGAATGAATGGACCTAAAAAATCTCATTTACTGACCAAATTCTCATTTCTTACCCGAAATTCTGAAAGAATTGGGTATCAAACACATTTCTAATGGTTCCCACATGTTACTCTTGATCCCAATCTCGTTTATTACCATGAAAAAGACTCATTCCGTCAAAATATCAATTCCCTAATACATAAAAAATAGGGCACAAGTAAAACAACTCTCTTAAATCGTCAATATCTCCCGCCCAAATGATCGGATTAATAAAAATCAAATTTCATTTTAAACTCTGAAAAAATATCCTCAAAATGAAGAGCAAATTGTTGAATTTTACCCTGCCAGGCTCACAACATCGATGATTAAAAAACAACCATTTAACTCCTTCCTTACACTGTTTTCATGATTTATCAGTTGTTCCAGAAATTCGTTATCGGGTGATAAAATTACCAAGGAAAAATTGCGTTGAAGTGATAACGGAAAAGTGTATTGATCGGCTGTCAGTTGCCTCGTGTCATCAATAAGATGAGAACCTATCCGACTGTTTGTGAAATAATCGGTGAATGTTTGGGATTGAATAAGAGAAAGGTTCAAACCATTCAATCAAATAAAACAATTTTTCTCCCCCCCAAAACAAAACTATTTCATTCCGTCAATTAGTTTTGTTAACGACTTGACGTCCAAATGACCTCGATAATTACCTCGTAATTACCCTGAAATGGGACCTTGACTAACAGGGCCCCCCTCCGCCGACAATTTCATCTCTCGTAAATTATTTTCAGTAATAACATGCCTTTAACTCGTTAGAGTGCACCGAAGTTGAATTAATGTGAACTACACAAGTGTCTTAAGTTCCAAAACAATTCTCGTCATCATGTCCCATTGTCTTGGATAACAGGGTCGATGTTTAGTCTACAAACCGGAGACAATGGCGAGCAATGCAGCATGACTCTAGCATTTGACCTTGCGAATGCTCATCAATACCTCAAAAATTCGTTGATTAATTTCGAATGATTTTTTTTAAATTAATTGCAGAGTCCTGGAACGCTACACAAGGATGTCAATGGCGGTGGGACGAAGGTCAGTGGAAAGCCTGTTGGAGGGGTGGGATCAGCTACCCTGACTGCTCTCTCATCCATCAACAATACGACTAATGGGAATAGGAGTAAAAATCCTGCATCGCACGAGGTAAGTTGATACAATTGATTATAATAAAATTGGAGAGGGCCGAAAGCTACCCGAGTGGAAATTCAAATTAGGATAGACTAAAAGACTGACTAGTAAAAACTGATTTTGATCAATTTTGGATCAGAAGTGTAACGCTTGTTTGGGTCCATGCCTGGTCAAAATTCTAGGATTCGATATTCCTGAACAGTACCGGATCCGATACGGATCTAGTCGAGATTTGACTGATCAGAATAGGATCACAATTCACTCCGCCAGAATGGATACAGATACTCCATTCAGAATCTCATCAGATCCTGATCCGAAAGTCTAATCAATAAATTCTGACCAGTATTCAACCTAAAACTAATGTAAATCCAAGCTAACTGAGTGAAATTTCCACTTGGGTACTATTATCTTCAAATTTTCGTCCTTAAAGATATCCAAATGCTTTGGTTATTCTTTTCTTCAGTGAAATGCTTTTCTACTTTTGTAGAGAAACATCGGGGCTTTCATTTGAGCCCCATTTGACCCCAAGTTTCCAGACATATCTTAAAATGGTTTACTTTTGAATGACGATTGATGAAATAATTTAGAAATTACAATTTTTAAGAATTACGAGCATTTTCTATAAATAATTTATACCCAATCAATTTTCCACAAATTTATTCGTGATCAGAATTTGATCAGAACTCGATTTCATGCTTAAAACAATAAGGTTTCTGAAAGCTTAAACAATTTTAATTATGTTATTGGCTAAAAGCTACTGTTATCTCTATATTTTCGGGCTTAAAGATAGATATAAAACAGAAACATGTAATTGAAAACAGACATCATCTTTAGAGAGATTTGTCATCTTCTCGACCCGCTCTTTCATTTGAGGCAAAAAAAACATTCATATCTTGTCTGACATCTCTGCTACAAACTCTGGTCATCAACTCTGGTTTTCAGTTGAAATTGGAATTGTTAATTTACACAATAATAGGAGTGCATTGACGATTTTTTCTTAACTCGCAAAAATCTTCAAACAATTTGCTACCGATTGGTGATAAATTTTTTTGGAAATAATGAAATAGGGGGGATAATGCCTTTTTTTTCAGGGGTGATTTTTCAGAAATTTATTTTTAAAAAAGTCCTAACTAGCAAATGTTTTTTATTAACTCGCAATTTTTTTCAAAACTACTTCAATGAGGAAAAAAATAAAAATTTGGAATATCTATACATGAGGGGCTAATTGATCGGATCTCATAGTTTCCGAGATAATCGCGAAAAACGAAAGTGCCAAAAAAAATTAATTTAATTCATCTTGTATAGGGTGTAGGAAGTGGAAAAACGCAATTCTGAGCCGTCCATCTGCCTATACGGAACCCAAATTTCCTCAGGAATCGAATGGAATAGGTTTTAAGGCTCTATCTCTCATAGTTTCCGAGATAATCGCGAAAAACGAAAATGCCAAAAAAAATTAATTTAATTCATCTTGTATAGGGTGTAGGAAGTGGAAAAACGCAATTCTGAGCCGTCCATCTGCCTATACGGAACCCAAATTTCCTCAGGAATCGAATGGAATAGGTTTTAAGGCTCTATCTCTCATAGTTTCCGAGATAATCGCGAAAAACGAAAGTGCCAAAAAAAATTAATTTAATTCATCTTGTATAAGGCCTAGGAAGTGGAAAAACGCAATTCTGAGTCGTTCACTTGCCTATAGGGGACCCAAATTTCCTCAGGAATCGAATGGAATAGGTTTTAAGGCTCTATCTCTCATAGTTTCCGAGATAATCGCGAAAAACGAAA